AGTGTAGGATTTGATTGATGTGATAGATTTTAAAAATTAGTTTAATTGATATAAATTAAAGATTACCAAAATGTCCCTAGTTATAAAATGTTATTTATAAATGTTATATTTAATTGTAAAAATGTTTATAAAAAAAAATTATGAATAATTTATAAAATTAATGTTTAAAAATTAAAAAAACTAAATAATCAATTTTTTTAATAAATTAGAAAATATAATAATCAATTTATTAAAAAAAATTAGAAAATATAATAATCAATTTATTAAAAATAAATTAAAAAATATAATATATCTAATTTTATTAATATTAAAATAATTATAAAAAAAACTTGAAAAAAAAAAAGGAAATCGCATAACCGGTTACGCGAACGCGTAACCTGTTACGTGAACTCGTAACCGGTTACGCGAACGTGTAACCAGTTACGCGAACGCGTAACCTGTTACGTGAACTCGTAACCGGTTACGCGAACGTGTAACCAGTTACGCGAACGCGTAACCTGTTACGTGAACTCGTAACCGGTTACGCGAACGTGTAACCAGTTACGCGAACGTGTAACCAGTTACGCGAACGCGTAACCTGTTACGTGAACTCGTAACCGGTTACGCGAACGTGTAACCAGTTACGCGAACGCGTAACCTGTTACGCAAACGCGTAACCGGTTACGCGAACATGTAACCGGTTACGCGTTTCCAGCGTTTCTTAACCGAGGGCACACGCGACATTTCGCTCACAATCCGCGCAAATCTCTTCACAACCGCGGGTGACTGAACAGTGCAACCATCCCGCGTTTCATCGCAAATCCGTCCGCGCATTTCACTCCAACCGAACGCATAACGAGCTGAATTCTTCGCTCGCAAATTCGCATGAACAGTAAATTCGGTTCATGCGAACAGAGCCGTAATGATTGAAAGCTCGATAACAATATCATGTTTATTAAACTATTTGATTAATCATCCGTAATTTTCCGACTTCATCTAATTATCACTTCTCATCACAACAGTAAATCTCAAATATAATTGAACCATATTATATATATATATATAAAAGATCCAAGGTGATCATATAAATTATATTGAATTAAAATACCTATATATAAAGAGTTAATATACATGAATCACATTACAATATGGTATAAATGTTATAATTATAACTTTTTTTCCTTTTTTTAAATCTAGAATTGAAACAAAAGATAAATGTGTGAAAAGGATGAAGGGATGAGAATGTAGCATCAATTATAGATAGTTTGTGCAGAGATGACACCAATCCCATTCGCACATACCATTCACTTTCCTCAGGCTATCGACACGTGGCAGAGGGTAGCCACTTGGCGTTTAATCTCAGCAAGTACATCTAATTTCTGCATTGTGGCAAGTGAAATGCTTGTGCTGCAGATAAGAGAGAGAATGCACGAAAGTCCAAATTTGATGAGAAAAAAAAAAAGAGAAAAAGGCTGACACAGAGCATGACTCATGTACGAAATGTTTCATACAACAATTTTGCATCATCATTCATCATAAAACATATTCCAATGCCAATGCTTAAATATTATAAAAGTATTTATTTACATTAAATATATATAAATGAACAAAAGTTATAAATTCATAAATTATATGATGTAATAAATATTAAATATAATGAACATAGATAAACTTAAAATATATTTTATTATTATTATTTTGAATATTATTAACCTACTTATAAATATATTATTTGGCTTCTTAAAAAACAGATATTTTAATTTATGAAAAAATTATGGTTTTAAACTCATTAATATTTTAGTTTTTATCATTAGGGTTTCCAAGGAAGACATAATTATGCTAACTTTTGATTATGAGTTTAATGTGATAAAAGTATTCTTTTTGGTTAAATTTTGTTTTCTTTTCTCTTATTTTTCAATAAAATCAACTTTTAGTTTCTTGATATTTTGCTGACCCATTTTAATTCCTTAATATATTTTTTACTAATTTTAGTCTTTTAATATTGTTTTTGTCTTCCAATTTTTAATCAACCTGTTTAACCTGAAATAGATTTTGGCCAAATTTCTTTAATTAACATGAAATGAATTTTGGAGAATTCAAGGATTGAAAGTTGGAGAGCAAAGTAAATTACATGTTTTTCTTCATTTTTAAGCTAATTTTCATGAAAAAAAAAATCTTAGTGTTTCACAATTTCAAAAACTTTCTAGTACCTTAAAATCACAAGACATTGTCACATTAAACTTCAATTGAGAGATTAAAGACGATTTTAAATACAAAAATTGAAGAAATAGACTTCATAAAAAGATTATTGGAAAACTAAAACCAATGAACAAATGTTAAGAAACTAAAATTAATTTTATTAAAAAAAATAAGAATTAAAAACAAAAGGTTACCTAAAATATTAATGTGGCTGTTATGTCATATTTATAATTCACGTGATAAGTCAGATGATTTTGACAACATAATAATGCAATATCTAACTACATTAACTTAAAGTTGACGAATCAAGACTCAAAAACATAAGTACAAAAATTCTGAAGATGAGAAATTTTAAACTAATTTCTAATTACACTCCTATAATTTTAAAATAATATTTTATAAAAGTGATTTTTTGGATTATCTGTTCTAAAAGTATTTCGGAATAAATTTTTTTAAATAATTTTTTTGGAACAAACATTTTCAAACACATTAAATGTGTTATGAAACAAGTTCGTTTTTCAGAATTAGTTTTTTTTTTCCTTGAAATGGAGAACAGTGATGACATTGTGGAATAAAAAATATATTTTAATCCTTTTCTATTAATATATGGTGCATTTAATAATAATGGAAGTGCAGAGGGAAAAATCCTTATAAGTTGCATAGCCCATTTTTGGACCACAATGACAATGGCAATGGAAGGTTTGTCTATTCATTCCATTTTGCATGTTTTTATTAATGTGAAGATGTTGAGATAGAAAAATAAATAAATAAACAATGGATGGAAACTTCAAATAATAATATTAATAGTCTAGAAGTTCAAATAATAATAATAATAATAATAATAATAATAATAATAATAATAATAATTGTAATAGTAACAGCAAATTTTGTGAGGTAACACAAATTTTTTATAGTTCTACAACATTTACAACAATATCTCTTACTGGAAATACAACATAATAGTTTTGTTAACAAAACTAAAATATATTAGTGTAATGTATAAACCATACCATTATAATATTTTTTAAATTAAGAAGCTAGTGTAAAAATAGAAAACAAAAGTTGAAATAGTTTCATGCACTCTCAATTTTTGAGTAAAATGTTTTTCTACACTAATTCAAAACATAAAATAGAAAACCTAAAATAATTTGCCCATAATAAAATTATAAAAGTGAATCTTAAATTGAATTTTTGGTCATTCATATTAAACTCAACTTGATTTAAGTGAAATGTTTGAAGTATATTTTAAAATGAGATGTTTTACTGATAATTGAAATCATTCAGACATTTTAAGTAATACAAAGTAGTTCAATTCAAATAACAATATAATCCAATTAAATTTATTTAAACTATTTTATAAATTAGTTCAGTTCTTTGAAATTAGTTATAAAATTTATTTTAATTTTGCAGTAGTTAAACTTATGTATTTTATCTACCCGTATGTACAATTGTGTTTCCTTTTAAAATGACCAATTTAATTTAGAAAGCTTTTTTTTTTCTTTTTATAATCTCTCTTAAATGATATTTTTTAAGTATTCTAGAAATTTGAAATTACAAATGTCACGTTATCATATTTGATAATCGGATTAGGAAAGTTTTGATGATGTAAAAAGACCACAATATTTAATTATTGAATACATGAATACACTTGAATTCCATAAACATTACGTCTTACAATAATTATAAATCTTATATTATCCTCTTAAAAACAATCTAAAGTTTTAAGACATTAAATACATTTCTTGTTCATTTAATTGTTTCTATGCAAAGTAATAAGAAGATTGGTGAGAGAAGGAGGAAAATTATACATAGCATTACTCATTCCCTAAAACTGTTTATTTTGAGCAACACAATTGCCATGTTCTTCCGACCAAACTACTTTAGTTCCCACATATCTTTAACCCTAAAATAGAGGTTTGGACCACCTCACCTGAAAATAAGTAAATAGGAAAAGTCAGTAGAATGCTAAAACTTCAATTGCTTGATTGGTGACAACTCCTTCCATCAAGTGTTGGAATTATCCCAACACTTTAATTTCTCCTATCTTTTCTACCACAACTTACTTTTCTGGAAACACTTTGTAAGATCACAATCCCTTTGTTCATATATTGCAATCCTTTCCAGACTGTCCAACAAAATCTTTCTTGGTGAAACATGTGTTCATTTTCTAATGCAATGATTCCACCCAATATAAAGATCTTCCTCCAAAGGGGACCACACAAAAATGGGAACGTGGAAACCACATGGTTGCCTATTGCTAGATTGTCTGAGTTGACCAAAGTCAACCGTTCAACCTCAATTTAACAAGCCCCTCCCCACTTTTCCCACAAATATCCAACTTCAGCGACAATCTTATTTGAAGCAAGATTAGAAACTAAATATAAACACCTCTTCTAACAAAAAATAAAAATAAAATAAATTAACTTTTAATTTGACATATTATGATAAACTAACCCCAATCTGACCGATCCAATTCCTGTTAATCCCCACCCCAGGCTACCACAACTCAGTTTTGCACAAAACAGGCAATAAAATTACATGATATTAACCTGAGCACAGACATCATTCTTCTTCATTGGTTTTAAATTCATGACTTGGTTAGAAGGTTGGAGAAGTGGTTGAGTTTAATGCCATTAGATGATAGCGACCCCACATGTGGCTAGGGACAATGCAAGGTCCACATAACAGTTTAATAATCAGGTCCATGTTTGGTATAGGTTATATTTTAAAGCGTAAAAAAAAATGTGTCTAAGAGAGTTTGTTAAAATAAACACTATTGTTTCGTCAAAATAAGTCAAGGCAGACAAGCAACAATAGTTCCATTTCTAGGATTGAGTGTAGTACTCATAGTATATAAACTTGGGGAAAAAATGTACACAATTGCAGTAACAGACTAGATAAGTAACCTAACCTAAATGCCTCAAGAAAGATTTTCCCACAAAACACTGACATTTTCGACCCATTTGACAATGCCACGACAAGCTTTTTCTCACTATATAGCAGCTCAAAGCATCTTACTTTCCCTTGTCATTTAAGGTTACAAGCGACTTGAGCACTCCAGGGCTTATCTTGTCTGCAAGAACACCTGACTCTGATAGAAAGTAAGCTTTTTCCTTCATAATGCTCTGTAGTTTCTTTGACTCAAAGTCAAGCTTCGCTTGATCTGTAAATAATTACATGGTCAGTAGAAAAATATACCAATTAGTTTTTCGATAAAAGGACTTCACTCATAGCTGTAGTTCAAAGTTTGGACAATCACAATAGTAAAGATCAATAAAAGAACATGAATGGAGGTAGTCAGTCTCAACACAACCTCTAAACTATAATGTTGGTGTACATGTCATGTCATTTGCTTATATAAGTAAAGATTACGTATTACACAATGAAAAGTAAATTAATAAAAAAAATAATCAGAAAGTCCTATGTCATCAGTTCAGATATAGTTCTAGACAAAAAATAATTCTTTTAAGTGGCATTGGCATTTGAAAACCGAAACAGCGCAGTAGACAAAAGCCTCATTTAAGTAAAATTACATTCTTTTCATTGTTGTAGTGATTGCAATTACAAGTTGCCTACCACAATCAACTTGAACCAGTAACTAGTATGACAGGCCCTTTAAATATCTTAAAAATATTTACGAACAAGAAAAGAGAAACAGTAAAAAACGCCAGTGAGACATGATTGCAATGCCTCTGTACCCCGTTTTTCAAACTAACACATCAAACCCATCTTCTCATTTCATCCACTGTAATACAAAATACATATGATTAGGGGGAAAGATTAATCTCACACGTATTGGATAGATGAGAACTTAGGGGCTATGGCCAAACATTACTACTGTAGAATGCCCTGCCCCCTCCTCTCAGAATACAGAAGTAATGAGCAATAGGCAAGCAAGCATTACGCTCAAGCACAAGATAAAAGATAACCAACGTGGGTGAACATTTAGGGAAATTTTCTTTTTTTCTTAGTATTTTTCCAATGGTTAGAGAATAGGGTGGCCAAACACCTGTTTCCAATATAGTATGAGCTGCATGAAACGGAATTCTGGCAAACAGATCTGTTCCTGGAAACATCATCCATGTCGGCTAAGAAGAGTTATGGTTGCCGCAGGTGTTGCAAACCTCCTGAACCAAAGGTCTTGAGCTGGTCCCAGCAACTCCCCTCATCATTGATTCAAAAGGAGATGGAACACTGCTCATTGTTGTCCGAGCCCGTTTCCTTAATGCAGTAAGTGCTTCTCTATTCCCATTTCTCAATCTATCATTCTCAACCAGCTGTATTTTTCCAAAAGGGACAATTGCATAGCACATTTGATAGAAAAGCTATTAAAAAGAAGCTTTTATAGCCATAGTAAACAAAAAAAAATCCCTATTGGCACTATGGTATTAAAGTGATTTCTGTTAAGGACGTAACATAGTAATAAGGAAATAACATTGGGATCAAGTAATTAGTTACTTTGTGAATCCAAACTAACCGACATAACTCATTTGGCACTTTAGTGGGTTGTTTGTAGCTTTTGGTGTGCGCATTGAGTTCTGTTTTAACTTATAGTTATTAGTCCTAGTCCTAGATAGCAGCAGAGGGTAAGATAGTGGATTGTAGATTGGACAGTATACCAATGATACTAGGGAAAAAAGAAATGTAACACCAAAGACATCTAATCTAAGAACAATTTACAGCAGATAACGCCAAGGTCTCATAATTTAGGAGACTTAGTTGCCCAACTACTTTGGTAGATGGGTCAAGGCTATATATAGTTTTTGTCATTTAGGGTTGTGCTTAGCTAAAAGCTTTTTTCGAAAAACAAAACTACCATACCATAGTTTTTCAAAAGCTACGCTTCTAACTTATAGAGAGGCACTGGAATTTTTTTTACACTATGTTTTCCTTAAAAAACTTTTCTAAATATCTTCAAAACTCTAAGCAATTCAGCCTTTTCCCACTTGGTGGGTTTTGAGAGATAGGTAGATAGATGGATCAAACTTTGCTATGTTTTACAGTAAATCATGTTGATATAGACAAATGATTGACCTTTACATCTTATAGTTTTGCCTATAGTTTTTTCTTTTTCCCGTACTTCTAGCGCATGGTTAAAAGTTATAACCATTTTAATCATGATCAATAGTTTTATACATCACACTTATTGATGAAAGTTATATACCTTTTTAAAAGTAGATCGTGATTAACAAATGTTTTAATCATGTGCAACTTGGAAGAAATACACCATTTTAAAGTTATATATGGTTAAGTTGCACATGATTAAAAACATCAAGGTGGTATGTTATTCACGTGTTAATCACTTGACAGAGTTTGTCAAATTATAACAGAAAAATTATCATAAGAAGTTTCTGCATTTTGAGAACCTTGAGAATCTAAACATGCCTTTTGAAGTCTAGAGACAAAGTTGTACAAGACACAGACCTCAAGCTGCTAGTTTGTAGTTTTCCACGATTAATATGCTACAGAACTATTTCATCTTGAGGATATATCATTGAAATCTGAGGAACAGTGTACCAGACTCTTTTTATATCTATTCATTTATGAAACGAGCAGGATGTTTTCACCATAAAATTTGTGTAAAAACCTTGGAAGAAGACAAAGAAAGTAAAAGAAGAATACATTAGATGAGAGTAAAGTGTCTCAAATAAGTCCTTATCATGTTCCCAAGAGAAAATTTGAATAAAGCAATAGATTCTGACATACATATTTCATACAAACCAAGGAAAAAGTCACACCAGAAAAAAAAAATTATGAACTATACCATCTACTTTCTCACTAAGACCAAATTTTGGTCCTCAATGTAGCAATAGAAGCTAGATTTTGCTCCTTTCTAATGAATTTTATTACTTTCTTTGTTTTTAAGTCTTTGTAAAAACATTAATTAACTTCAATTCATAAATTTGAACTACCTGTTGTCGGGCTAAAAGATGATGCTCAGCTTCCACTTCCAGTTCCGTTAATTTATTTTGGAACTGTTTCATGTTCTCATCCATATTTGAAGAAAAGAAACTCCTGCAAGATCTAAAGAAAACATTATCTAGAGAAATTTGTGTAAAATATCATCAAAACAACAATCATTCAGTTGAATCAAATGAATAAATAAAGCTATTTGTTAAAGCAAAGAAAGGCAACACCACACCTCACAGAAAGAAAAAAAAATTGCACCCTTTAGACACAAATAGTATAATCAAATTTCTTCAACATATTCAACTCAGAAGCAAAACACATAAATCAATGACAAGGCTGAACTAAACGTTTTACGACATTCGCATAAACGCATTAGAAATTCTTACCGGGTACAGAGGCGATTGGAGCTCGACCAATTTGGGACAAAGCAACCTTGGGTTTTTAAAATTAGGGATTTTCGAACATAAGGATGCAACCTACAAAGGACAATTTCAAATTGAATGCAATTGGGGAACAACAACCTTCTTTAATATAAACACATTCTTCGGAACTGAAATAGGGTTCGATGCACGTACTTCTACACAGCGACAATTCTCTCACCGGAGTTCACTCGCCGACGTCAACCGAACTTCGTCTTCTTCGACTGAACTCCGATTTCAGATTAGGTGACGAGGTTACAGTCCAAGGAAGGTTCAGTGAGATGATGCAAAGGGCGAGAAAAAACAAGATTTCGGTGCTAATTTCAAGATTAATAATTTATTTCTTAAATATCATTTTACTATATAAATAAATTTAGAAACGAAATTAAAATTCTTTATTCTTAAAAAAAAGATACAATTCTTTTTAAATGCTCCAACTTAAATGTTAGGAAATTTTTGTATTAATTATTGAGTTAAAAAAACTTTAAATACATTTTGAATATAGTTATGTTAATTTTATTTTTTAAAATATAAGAACGAAATTATATCAAAATTTGATATAAAAACAAATTTTAATTTTGTGTACAAACTTAAAATAATTTATTTCTTAATTTATCCCTAATAATCTTTTTTCTATTATATATATCATTAAATTATTAAAATAAAAATTATAAAATAAAGTGAATATAGAACGAAATTTGATATGAACTATCGCTTTCTCTCAATTTCAGTCACAAAGAGAAGGAAGGGCGATTCGCCATCGAGCATCTCGCAACCTAATTTTCAACCAAACATGAAACCCATGTTTTTCAATTTTCAAGGTATACGCAGCTTTATTTTATTTGTTATTTTTTTCTAGATTTAATGTTTCGTATTCAATGTCTGTCTTCCAATGGATTCTGCAATCTTAACTTTACCTCTGTTTTAGTAACCCTGAAATCGAACTAGATCTAATTCATATGCTGTTCAAGAGAGCTCCTTTTATCCATCAGAGAGATGTTGGAACAGGAAAGGTCGGTTGAGAACCCTAAATCGTGGAATATGGGTTTAGCTTTTGCAAATTTGTTAAATATCGATTGGTAAGTACCGAAGGTTTGTTTGAACACTTGTTTTTGTTAGGAAACTTAGTATGAAATTTTCAGCCCTGTACAAGGATTTTTTCTTAGTTTAATAGATGAGTTTTATATTATCAACTAATTGGAAATCATTGTTGGTTATAATTTTTAAGTTATTATTATTATTATGAAAATTGATAGACTTATTATACATGACGTTTCGAATTCCTCTACACATTCATTACTTTTTTAAACTTAATGTTCAACGTTTTTTTTGTCAAAATCACATTTCTCTTTTGCAAACGGGAATTTCTAGGCTGTGCTTTCATAAATCTTAACATGTCAGATGTCTGAGTTTGTTCAGGCTATATTAGATTGCTCTCGCTGTGCTGGATTGCAGGTATTTTCTGCTTCTTCAGATGACGAACATTGAGTTTATATTGCCCCTTGTCTGTTATTTATAGAAATTGTGGATCTTTATGATTTCAATGAGTGAATTCAAATATTGGATATTGGCTGCTTGATGTTTGACACATGGTTGTTTGTTGCGTGCTATCTTCCATTCCCTTAACAATCAAAAGGAGTATCTGCTTAACATGGTTTTATGGTATTGGTTGTTAGATGGTACTCACACTGCTATCATTAAATATCGTTGTTCATGTCACTTCATGTGTTGGATACCTACTAAATATCACGTTAGCAAATAAGCTGTTTACTGTGAAAAATCTAACCTTGGAAGTCATAATGACCCCAAGATAATATGAACTTAAAAGAATTAGGATTTCCTTTACCTAGAAATCCAGATTGATTTGAGTGATACAAGGTTTTCAAATGGCTATACAGAATATAATTTTCTGCTTAGATGTCTCACCATATTATCAAGGAAATAAATGAAGTTCCAAAAATTTGAATATATATGCTCCTAGGCAACTTGGCTAATTGAAAACAAATGTAGTTCTTTCTGTTAAGAAATTTTAATTGAATGATGAAACTTGATAAAAAAAATCAAGTGAAATATGTTGCCATATAGCTGGAGGCAGCATTCAAAGGATAAAAATAGACAGTTGCATTTGGTACCATTTGGTGAGTGATGAGTAATACTAGCTTGGAGTTTTCCAGTTTTCCCGCATACCTTTTTTGTGTAGTCTTTAGCTATATGAAAATATCAAACTCAAGTGTAGTCCATAACTCCATTGCCTATCTAGTGTCGAGCCGAATGGATACTGAAGTTTTATTCTCTAACCCTCTATGCTATAAAATGCAATAGCTACATGGTTATGTATATAAAAGAAAAGTAACTAACAGTCAGAAGAAGGCAGGTTCAATTTCAAGACATTGAACAATTCTGGCTTTAGAAGTCATAATAAGAACATATACTTGCCTTGTTTTGGTTACTCTTCAACTACTTTTGAAGTGCATCATCAACCACTGCTATTTACACAATCAAATGACTAATTTAACAATTATAACTATTCAAGCTTACCCCATATGTTTTAAGAGTGTTTTAATGATGTTTTTAAAAAAAAAATATGTATTTCCAGTGTGAACTATGTTACTCCTAAATGGATGATTGTAATACTGTACGATGTTTATATTATTGATGAAATAATTTTGTGTGTGAGATGTTTAATTCGACACTTCACAAAAAAAGATGGGGATAAGAATGTTTTACATCATCTTCTAATTCCCATGTAGAATCACCTGTTTTTCTATCCCAAACTACTCTCACTAAGTCGATAGTTTTCCCTCTAAGCTCATTTGTTTTAGTGTCTTCTATACTAACAGGTTGCACTTCTACGGATAGATCCTCTCTGATTTGAATATCTTCTACTTCTAAAATGTGAGAAGGATCATGAACATATTTTCTTAGTTGAGAAACGTGAAAAAATGAATGGAGTTTGGCTAACTGAGGAGGTAACGCCATCTCGTAAGCGACAAGCCCAATTCTTCTCAAAATTTGATATGGACCAATGAACTTAGAAGAAAGTTTCTTCGAACGAAGAGCCCTTCCTACTCCTGTGGTTGAAATGACCCGTAAAATGACATGATCTCCGACTGCAAACTCCAATGGTCTTCTCCTTTGATCAGCATATGACTTTTGTCTACTCTACGAAGCCTTCATTTTTTCTCGTATCAACTTTACTTTGTTTGTGGTCTGTTGTAGTAATTCAGGTCCTATCAAAGCCTTTTCACTATCCTGGTACCAGCATAAAGGAGTTCAACATCGTCTTCCATACAGAGCCTCGTAAGGTGCCATTCCAATACTAGCATGAAAGCTATTATTATAGGTGAATTCCACTAGAGGAAGTACTTCATCCCAACTACCCAGATGATCCAATACACTTGTTCTCAATAGGTCTTCTAATGATTGGATTGTTCTTTCAGATTGTCCATCGGTTTGGGGATGATACGCGGAACTCATTAGTAACTTGCTGCCCATAGCTTCCTGTAGAGTTTGCCAGAATCTAGAAGTGAATCTTGGGTCTCGATCTGACACAATGATTGAAGGGACGCCGTGCAATCTTACTATCTCTTTTATGTACAGTTGTGCCAACTTAGCCATTGACATTCTCAGATTTATTGCTAAAAAGTGAGAAGTTTTTGTCAATCGGTCAATGATGACCCAGATAGAATCATTACCTCTTACTGTCCGTGGTAAATGAGTGACGAAATCCATAGTAATGCTATCTCATTTCCATTATAGTATGTCTAATTGTTATAGCAATCCTTCAGGTCTCTGATGTTCCACTTTTTCCTTCTGACAAATTAAACAAGCCGTTACAAATTGTGTTACTTCCTTCTTCATTCCTGGCCACCAAAAGGACTCCTTGAGATCTTGATACATTTTAGTCATACCGGGATGTATGCTAAAACGACTTTTGTGTCCTTCTTCAAAGATTAGTCTTTTTATATCTGCATTGTCTGGTACACATATTCTACTTCTAAATCTTAATACATCATCAGATCCTAGCCTAAATTCTTTAGCCTTATCTGTACCGATCATTTTTGTTATCTTTTTCAAGCCAAGATCTGACAATTGCTTCTCTTTAATTAAAATAAGAAAATCGCTAGATATAGTCAGACTACTACATCTAATGAAATCTTCTCCAAACTCCATCTGTAACTTCAGATCTCTGAACTTCTCCACCAACTCCTGTTCTTTGATCATCA